GCTGTTCTGGGTACATGTGTAGATGGTGTGTCTGGGAGCAGTTTACTCTGGCTTAAACTGCTCCATAGTTTATTGCATCACAATAATTACATGCATAGATGCACCCACGAAGGAGTGTAAGTTTTCAACCAAGTTGTTGGTGAGTAAAATGAAACTAATCCACTGCCATGTCTCTTTTTTTCAAGAAGTCAAATAACTAGTATACTGTGTTGGGGGGGGGGGCGTCTAAAATAAAGCAAGTTCTAGGTCAACTCAGTTTTGAACGTTGAATGTTTTCCAGAAAGTTGATCATATGAAAATTCCCCTTATAGCCTTTCATTTGAAGTAGTTGTTACTCTTGCCTTGCACAAGGTACTTGCGAAAATGCTCATTTGCAGGAAAAAGAAAGTGCAGAAATTAAAATATTAGGAGAAGGGGTGAAAATTAATACAGCCCTGGCAAAGAACTATTTTAAATCTTGTTCCTTTTTATACATCTCTCTTACTTCATGTAACCAAGTCACTCTAGTTGATACAGGGAAGGTGTGGGATTGGGAGGGAAGAAGTGTTGGGGGGAGGTAGGAGGGGGTGGGTGGACGCTATCAGTCATAAGTGGCCATGACATGAAACTAGTTAAGTGATGTACGTTAACGTGCTTTCAGTTTAAGTTTCTCTCTCTCAAAGAATTCTTCATAGAACAATGGTGCAGTCTGTTATCTGTTCTTTTGCATTTGTAAGGCACTGAATGTTCAGCCAATCTAGTACTCCGATTGGCTGAACATTCCTACCCTTAATTTTGAATAGAAGGTGCCTTATGCTGCTGATGTAATTAAGAGCATTTTTTAAGAGTAAATGTTTATTATAAGCAGTTTACTGTTTTATTTTGCCTCAGAAGGGCAGAGTGAAAGTTTTTTTAAAACTAATTTTCTGGACCCCGTCTTAGTGAAGCATGGTGGGGCAGGACGGTGCAGGGAGGCTTCTTGCTATTAAAATAAGCAGGTGAAATTTATGTTCCTTTAATAGAGCTCTAGTGTTTTACATAGCAGTATCATGTGTGTTCAAGTGTGGCATTTCTGCTAGATACAGGCTTCAGAATGGAGTCTTACAAGTTTATATTAGGTGATAGCACATTGTAACACGTACACACACATGCATGCACGCACACACACAAATGCACACGCACCTCTTACCATTTTAGTATTATTGAGATTATTGCAATATTAACAAAATGGTTGTTAGAGCTAAGCTTCTCCTTTCTCTCCCATTTCTTCTCCCTCTTCCCTCCCTCCCCCCGCCCCGAACCTCATAACATCTAAAGTTTGCCCTTAACACACAATATTCTGTGGGTCACCTGAATGAAATCAAACTCAGCTTTTCTTCCTGTCTCAGACCCCTAAATGTCATATTTTACGCTGTAAAGATTTTGGGCTTTGCCTTTGCTGCTTGCTCTCCCTTGTTCCCTTACTGGAATAGTGTTTGAATTAGGCCATTATGTTCTGCTAGCAACGTGGTCCTTTGTGTCCGGAGCGTCTGGTGACATGTGGCCACGTGCTGTCCTTGATTAACAGCTGATGAAATTAAATTGTTTGCTTTTATTCTGACTACCTGCTGTATTCTGATCCCTCAGCAACACCTAAGGAACAAAATCTTTTTCTTAAAGTCTTGAATGAATTCCATGCTATATTTAATAAAGCCTTAGCAGTAGCTTACAAAAGCAGATACTGGGTTTCTTCTTACAGTACATAGCTATAGACAGAAAAGTAGAAATATCAGTGATGCATTTCTATGTGTGAATAGGGAGTCAGGGAAGAAAATGGCATTAAGTAATACAGGAAGCATTTCAGTGCACACGGGGCAACTAGAGAACAAGTTAGTGAGAGGGTACTAACACCTTTTCCTTCTCTTTGGTAATGGGAAGAAGGGTGCCAAGTGTTTCATGGCTCTTCTTCCTATTCTTCACAAGTCCTCATCAGCCATTCCCAGTTGAAACAGCTCTTTATCGCTTGGGCCTGGGAAGCAGGAAGTGTAAGAACGTTCCTTTTTCAGCAACACAAGTGATACCAGCAGGTTAGTTCATGAGATAGGAAGTCCAACTGAGTAATTTTATTCTGCTACAGAGGGTGGTGTCAGATGTACAAAATAAACTAATAAAAGATGATTTTTCCCCCTTTAAAAAAAAAATTAGCTTACTCTCTTTTTTGGTATCAGTTCTAACAATAGATCAGAATCTGAAAATGAAAATTACATTCTCCTTTTCTTCTTCCTTCCTCCTTCAAAAAAACCCCCCAAAACCTTTCTTTTCTTGAAGATCATTAAGTTTTATTTGGAATTGCCTTCTAGATCCATACAACGAATGTGGAAGTCCATTCCATCATTAATTCACATGCTTTTCTTCAGCGGCTTGGGCATTCATCACTTTTCCCTGTTCACAGCAAACTTTGCAAAGTAGTTCGGTAACGTTCATATTTCAACCTTGAGATGGCTGTGTGTAGAATAATGCCTTATATTTATACTGTAAAACGTGTTAATTGCAGAAAATAGATTTGTCTAGGGGGCCCAGAACAGTGGGAAAGCCCCCTCAAACAGCTCCTTTCTAGGATTTCTGAGACTCGGTGAAGTGTTACCAGGAGTCTGTGTGCAGCTGTAACATTGTACAGAATGCATACCTTCCCGAGAGCTACAGCAACGGGGATTCCCCCTCCTCTTCTCCAGAGCCGACTTCTGAAAGAGCTGGCTCATCCCTGCTGTCAGACGAAGCAGTTTCCTGAATGCATGGGTTTGAGTCACGTTAGCTAGATTAAGCTTTTAACTCCTCCCTAACTGGGCTTGAGTTTGTCCTTAGCTGTGGGAAAGGAAAGTGAGGGGTGGGGGTTGGGGGAAGATGTGAGGGAGGTGGAAGCTGTCCTGCATTCAGTCAGTGGCATACCTAATCAGTGACATAGCACTGGCTTTAACCTGTAGCACTAGAGCAAGGCATGCACATGAGCGGCACATATTCCACTTGTTAAATCTACAGTCTGTTATAATGAGAACTCAGAGCACTAAGCAAGCACTTTGTTAAAGGATCAGGAGGAGGGGGGTGAGCCTGCTAAGGCGAAGCAAGAGGTAGCAGTAGCAAGTGGAGTAGAAGTTCAAGTGCTTAAGTTGCATGTAGATGACATCAGCTGCTGTGAGGCTGGGCTATTGAGAGATTTGGCAAAGAAATCAGAATTCAGGGAGCATGCCTGCTTTAGGCTCTGGAATTTGTTCCTTCTTTTCCTTTGAACTTTTTGATATCAGAGGTTTTTTAAACGTATGTGGGTGGTCATAAAAAAACAAATTTCCTATGTAATTTTTTTTTTCTTGCTGGGGGGGGGGATAATTTGGAAGTCTGATAGTGTGTGGGAAATGATTACATCAGTCACAGGGAGGGCTAGGATTGGTCTACACAGTGTGGTTTGATTCACTACCGCAAAGATTGCGTGTAACCCTTTGAGTGGAGCTCTGGAAGAGTTGTCTGCCTCCCCAGAAACAGTACCCACAACAGGGGCTACGTGACAGGTACAGTACAATAATCCATTGACAACGATAAAACGCCCAGTGTGTGCAGCTTAGTCTGCAGAGGGTTGGAAGGAGGTAGAGAACAAACTCTCTTTCAAGAGGCAATCTGTATTTAAAATGCCATCTTGTTCTTCTGACTGCTGCCTTTTACGTGCTGTTGAGGTAAGATTTTCCATATCAAATTACCCTTCAGGTTTCTGCTAGATAAATATCTATCTCCTCTCTTGCTAGGATGCACAGTGTTTTAATGTGGGGTTAATTTAATTCTTGATATTGAAAATTTGATTGTATGGGGATATAATTTTGCAGTAAGCATATATTGTTGGAGCAGAACAATGCTAACAGGAAAGCATCTGTATATTTCAAGGGTTGGGGGAGGTTTCTGACATGTTCTTTTAATTTCCATTAATGTTTAGAACATACAGTACATGCTTGTTTGATTTCAAACTAGTCAAATTCTCAAGTGGAAAATAAATTCAAGGGTGAGAGAGAGGTAAGTGGACAGGGCTAATTAATTGATTTGAGGGTGAACTGCAAGTGAAACTTCCAAAGTGAAACAGTCAAAAGTTAGTGCTGAACAAGAGAGCCATTTTTAATTTTTAGGAACAGGACTAATGTCAATGTAAATGTTCAAAAGCAAAAGGCCCCAAACTAAACTCGTTAGCAAATTTTCTTTTAACCGTGTTCCAGAAGCACACACTCTTGGTATTGTTGCATTTTGGTTTGCCTTGATCTGTTGCAGAAGGAACCTCTGCTTTCACTTGATATGGGCAGAATTAATATAATCACAGTCTTCATTTAATGCTGGGAGAGGGAATAAAGGGGATGAGAAGTGATCAAAAGTAAATTGTACGTTTTGTGTGTGTTGACTGCCAAGATGCCTGAAATTTGTAAGAAGGGATGCTATGTATGGTAGCTGTGTGGTTTGCATGTTTTCGAACACAAGGCCGTTGATCTGTAAGCGTGTCCTTTATGTTGCAGGATGTAAAAGTCTTTAGTGAAGATGGAACAAGCAAAGTGGTCGAGATTCTAGCAGACATGACAGCCAGGGACCTCTGCCAGCTGCTCGTTTACAAAAGTCATTGTGTGGATGATAACAGCTGGACCCTAGTGGAGCATCACCCTCAACTAGGATTAGGTAGGGAGCAGCCAAGGGGGTGGCATGGCTATCTGAATGTGCATTGTGTCCTTTCACCTGTTTTCATGTGAATTAAAAGTTTCTCTCTGTAACATGGGCTGAAATTTACTTTTGTGCTTTGTCTTACAACATAATGTGCTCACTATTTGAGCCATTTTAACTTTTTTTTCCCCTTTCCCTCCTCTGTGTGTGTGTGTGTGTGTGTGTGTGTGTGTGTGTGTGTGTGTGTGTGTGTGTGTGTGTGTACGTGAGTCTAGCCTTCACACTAGTGCTTTGTTACGTTGCTGTGTTTGAGGCTGTTGCAAATAAACAGCTTAGGCAAATTGAGCTTGATCCCTAAAGAGTACTGGCCCTGAGAATCAGCTCAGCTCATCACCAGCTGCGAGACCTGGGTAAAGAGTCTCAGCCTTGCATACCTACAGTATGGTTATGAAAGCCCCATACTGATGGCGGGGGAGGGGGGTGGACTGCACTTGACTTGGGGGCTGGGGGAAGGGAAGACTGTTGGTATAGTCTGCAATGCATGGGCAATTTCTGGACCAGCATTGGCATCTGCTCTCTAGGCAGCAGCTGCTCCACCTGATTTAAATTAAGGTGCCATGGTTACAGTTTCAAGAAAGCAGTAAGGGGAAGAACTGTGGGGAATTAAATAATACTGTGAATTGGTTTAATTACAATACCTGAAAGAATCTCATGCTATTTAATCTGGCTTTCACTTATTTTGTGGAACTGATTAGTAGTAGCACTGATGTGCAGCTTGTTACAGCATGTTACTCAGTCACTGCATATACAGTGCTTAACTGCATATGAGAGAGTGCAATTACCTTAAAGACTATGGCACTTGAAATGTTAACCAGCGTACTTCATGATGAATTTCTGCCTTAAAAAGGCTATGAAGGAAATGATCAGGAGTGGGTAAAGCATTAACTGTAATCATGAATATTGGCATAATGGGTATTGCTGCAGATTTTTAAAGGTCTTTAAAACATTTAATTCAGAGCCTTGATACATAGGGAAATAATTTGCTGGACTTGCAGTGTCCTAAATGAGCACGGGTAAGCACAGCTAAATTTACTGTTCTACAAGTTCTCTCTCAAATGTTTAGCCAAATTACTAAATTTTTCCAATTAGGTGGTTCTTTAATGTAAAATGCAGCTAAACATAAAATGGAAACTCATTCATATAAAGTGGCATACTTTCAGTCCATAGTGCAAAAAATAAAATAACAGTCCAGGTTTTAAAATTGTTTATATTTCTTCCATTTTAAACTCTGGATTCACACTCTAACATCCTTTTTAAAATTTTATCAGTGCTCATTAAACTACCAGGCTTCCTTTCTTATATCCTCTTTCCCATCACTGCTTATTACTAAGGTATTGTGTAAACAGAAGCCTTCTCCTTTGTAACCAACATCCTTCTCCTGCCAGATTCATTCAGTGATGCCACAATTCAGTGTTTGTGACATCACAATAGCTTCCATGGTGACTAATTGTGCTGTCAAACTCTGGTGTGTGACATCTCTGAATGAATCAGGCAGGAGGCTGATTAGGAAATCAAAAGCTTCTGTTTACACACAAATAACTTGGTAATTAACAATGATGGGAAAAGAGCAAGATACTTATCATTCTGCATTTATATACATTAGAACCTGCATATTGAGGTTTCTGTCGAAGTACAAACCAGATCCAAAATTGTTGCCATTGAATGTGATGTACAAACTACAAACTGAGTTATTGTAAAACACTTTCCACAGGGAAAATGGCGGTGATGAGAGGAGGTAGATGTTGAGATTAGCTATTCAGTATTCCCAGATTATACCATTGAAGAATATACCTTAATTTAGGTCATATGAATATGCAAATGTTAGAAAATTTTCAGAAAAGATGAAAGCCATTTTAGATTAACAAAAGAATTCAGATCGCGTATATACATTACTTGAAGCAGTTTGTAGTTCTGAAAAAAATGCAATAAATTGCCACATAGAAGAAATGTCATCCAAATTCTTAATAAATGGAAGAAAAATGTGCACGGTAGTGTTAACTCACTCTCACGCTCAAGCACTATTTTGATTATACTTACAGTCATTGTTTTTGTTCCATAGCCTTGGTTGCAAGCTTCTGGGTGACTGCTTAAGTGCTTTTGTTTTTTTCAGATACTGCCAGATTATGGCAATGGACTCAAGTTACAACCCCCCTATAAGTAAAACTATAGTTAGCCGCTCACGAACAACTGAGGTACTAACCAGTGGTTACAGGTATTTGGAGACAGGGAAAAAAATGTCTGTCGAACAGTATTTCTAGGTGTTTGTTACTTTGCCTAAAGTAGGGCTGTGGATCGACCTAATGATAAACCATTTTAACTGTTCCAGTTGAACTGATGGACCTGTTTAGACTCTTTGCTCCTGTATCAGTACCCTGGAGCTAAATGGCTGTAATCATAAGCCTATATGAAACATGCTTAAAGTTACAGTAGTTTTGTTTCCACTTAATACAGCAAACAGACAAGAAAAATTACACCAAAGAGTTGTGAAGTCCTATAACTTTACTTTAACTCTGTTAGTTTGTCCATGCCCTAGGTTTTGCTTGTTCCGGATCTTTGGCGGAAATAGTGCTTTAGAAAATAGCCCTAAAATTCCTTGAGAATGTGGTGGTTACTTCTTTGGCCTAGTCTTGACTTTCATTACTCTCTTCTTCCACGGAGTTCAGTTTGTCAAATGGGTTGGGCCCACCTTTTTACACAGGGCAGGTAGCTTGCCACGGACACGGATCATAACTTGGGACCCAGACACACAACACACATCGGATTCTAGGTTACATATGTGTACCATGTTGCACTATAAAGTACCATGTTCAAATCCTTGGAGAGCAGAGCATACTCATTTAATGTGGTAGTCCTTTTAGGTCCCAGTAATCTGGTTCTCTGTTTAGCATGCATACTTATGTGCTGCCAATGTTAACTTTAATATGCAAATAGTTGCAAACTTATCTCACTGTGCAAATTACTTTGTGCATCCAGTTCAGCACGTAGAATCAATGGTTTTGATTACTTAACATCAAACTCATTTAGATTCCTGACACACCAAGACGTATCATGTTACCCAAAGTTTTTCAGCATTGAGCCATTAGTCTCCAATATAATAATCCAACTATTTTATTTCTAGCTTTAGAAATCAATCTATACCCCACGCACACATCCCTTCCCCATCAGTATTAGCTGTCACTATATGGTGTTCCATCGTTAACTACAAACCATTACTGATAAGGAATTGAGTTATCTTTATCAACCTAAGAAACTTTAATGCTGATATGGTGTAAAATGGTTGTAGAAAATGAGATTTCTTGCATCTGTCTGCCTAACTTCAGAAATGCCTTGACAAACTTATTTTAACAAAGCTGGGAGAGCAGAGTTTTTCAGACCTTGTTGCAAAATTATGGGTCTCTAAACTGTAGTTTGTGATGAAAATAAGGGTTGGTGAATAATGGCATTCTGTGGTTTTGCATGTGTATTATCTCTATTAGACTTATTTAAGTTTCATGGAAAAAACACACGACTCTCTTAACAGCCACAGCAGTTACTGAAATAGGAAATCAGACTTATTTGGGAGGAATGCATAATTGTTATTAATGATGAACTCTGGGTCTTGCATCTGCAACTTGCTGGATATTGAAAACAGCTCTCTTTCACACAGTTCTATTTTTATGCTATTTAAAAAGTAAAAAAAGCAGTTAAAAGGCTTTTCCTGCCTATATGTAGTTACTAGAGAAGACTAAAATAATGCAAGGAGCAGATCAGAAGAATAAGAAAGTTACTTCTAGTCCCTTTAGTTGCAATAGAGCTTCAAGGAAGGTTGACTTAAGAGTGCTTCTGAGCCGTTAGGTAAGCATTTTCTAGTTACTACTGTTAGGAAATCTACTGTTTAGGATACATATATACAAATGCAATCAGCCAACATAGTGAATCTGTGTACATGGCCATGTAGAATAAGATCCTTGGTTGTGTTTGTGTTGGAGCTGGGAGATCAGTCCCCATCAACAGCAGGGAGTGGTACAGAATGTCAAACTTGAAGACAGGCACAACATCACCAGATGAAACAAATACCTGTAAATAATTTAGTAGCCCTTCTCAGTTACTTTTGATAGAACTCAAAATGTATTTTCAGGATTTAATTTTGGAGCCTAAGGTTCAAAATGCATAAAAAATTATGTGATGTGACCAACAGCTTTTCAAAAAGGGTTCATCCCAATGTCACTAAAAGCAGGAACATGATTGCATATGCAGCCCATATCCAGTTGTAGGGCACTGACTACTTTGGGTATGCTGCAGCTAAGTTTCATAAAATCTTTATTTCTGGCTTGCTTGCATCCTCAAAATGAAAATCCAGGCATTAGTTGAGTCAGCATAAATGCCACGACAGCATTTTCAGAGGGAAGTGGAGACTATTTTGGTAAGGAAACAGATTTAGGACTTTTCAGCCTTTTGTATCAGATCCATTAAACATTCACTGTGCACAAATTAAAAGTCAAGATACCAAACATGCTGACAATATTTTGCCTAAATTATACTTCCTTAGGCTAAGGAAGTTTACTTTCTGCCTTAATCATGCGATTCAAGGTGAGCCATGCACTGTCATGAAGAAGTTGAGGACAGTTTTATGAGTTCAGTGAAGGAAAGCTATTTCAGAGTTCATGGCCTATCAGAGCACATCCTGCTGTCACGTCTCCACTGTCCTTACCTTGTGGGAAAGAGACGAGATCAGTGGCAACTAGGGTGCAAACTAATATATAATATTTGTCATAACTTCTATCTTAAATTTTACCTGAAATCTGTCAGAGGTTTAGGGGGACGGGTTCTTAGATGGTGTAAAGATTCATAGCTCTACTCATTGTAATGGCTCTATGACAGTTTACACCAGCTGGGACTCTGCTTCTTAGACAGGAAGTTGCTTTCTGTCCTCCTTGTAGTTTTCTTGCGATTGTGATGGGTAACTGCATTAGGAGCACTCTAGTAATAAAGGCTTGGAATTGTAAATGACAACCTCAGTGAAATGATAGTAATGGCTGAATCAAGTGCAGACAGGAAAAGATAATGAGACCTTTAGGGAATCCTAGTTACAGGCCAGAAGCCATGATGATAAAATGTCTAAAAATGCATAGGTATTTTCATCAAACCTCATCTGGATGTTGATTTCATCACAGAAGTGTAGACCTATTTCAGTTGGCATCTGAAAAGTTTTTAAACTGAGCTGTGATTTTCACTGGAATAGGACCCAGTAGGCTATCTTATTCATCCTTTGATATGTGCTGTTCTCTAAACAGATGGTGGTGGTGGGAAGTTCATTCTTACAGATGACCAACTCTAGAAGCAAAAAAAATTGCCCTCTAACGAATATAGAACCTATGTTTCTGTCTCTCAGCCTTCCTCTAAGTGAAATCCTTTGACAGCTTTTATAATAAGTGAGCAGTCTAGCATGTTACAAATCTGGCTTGAAGTTCACTTTGGGATGAAAGTACATTTGAAGCATATAGCTGAAGAGGTGACTATTTTTCTGTTATATTGTGGGACTTGATGATGGCCCCATCACCCATTGTTTTAAGAATTTGCTTCATAGTGTTATGAGTCCCATCCCCGCGTCCCATCCCCTCCCCTCCCCTCCCCTCCCCTTCCGTCTGTCGTT